TTACTGAAAAATCAGTAGAGCAACATGCAACTCACAATATCTTCACGCCTGAACTGGTCAAGATACAGCCGATGAACACACAGTTTTTTATGAGGACGAGAAAGAGCTATACGCATTTTAAGGTCATTGTCACCCTCAATCTTCTTTGCAACAGTATCTACAAGCAACATACGACCGGGTCGGAGTCTCCCCTGTAAAAACATCGAATTTAATTTACTAATTTAACACTTAGACACTTAAAACATGGTACTTCAAATTCGTTATTTCTGAATTATAAACACGACGATCAGATCCGTCGCGCTGAATCCTACAAAAGTTAGAATAAATATTAAGACTCTCATAACCAAACAAACCTTTTCAATGACGCTATCTTCAGGTAAATCAATGACCCCTACTTCACTTGAAAGGTAGAGATGGTCATCCTTTGTTAAATAATAACGTGCAGGTCGCAAACCGTTTCTGTCCAAAATTGCACCAACGTAGTTGCCATCGGAAAATGCAAGTAGGGCTAAAAATACATTTCTCGGCAATGTAACAAACAATAATTTATTTAATTATACTGAAAAAACAACTGTCGATCAGTTACAAAAAAAATGCACTCAATAAACATTTTTAAAACCCAAACCAGGTCCATCCCACGGTTCCATTTGCATCGCTGCCCAGCGATAGAAAGTTCTTTTTTCAGATGGCATTTCCTACAAAAATTATAGGTAATCTGCAAAATTTTGTACTAGTTGTATAACAAAAGATTACACACATCAACTTTTTCCCACACTTCTGGAACCATCATCATAGCAGCTTCTGGAAGAGAACGCTTGCCAGCTTTTACCAAAAACTCTAACACGTTGTCAAAACAACCGGAATCTGTACTTCCAGGTTCTACCACCGGATAACTGAAATTAGTAATATTGGACGAATTCATTTTCCTGGCCATTTACACCATCACAGATAATAAGTTCTCACAGTTTTTGGAGCTTGTCACCAAAAATATCGCTGTGCATAACGCCTTCACGTGCATGCATAAAATTAATATTCCCCCTTAAGGTGTTAATTTCGCCATTATGAGCGAGCATCCTAAAATTCATTTACTGAAATGAGATTGGTACCATAAAACAAACTGATAAACCACAAAAGTCTTTCAAGTTAATACAGAAACAGCCGGTAAAAAAACCTATTTGGTTGAGCCCGACACCAAGACGGGAATGTGTTTGTCGAGAAACGGCTGTGAACAAGCGCAACATGGGATACAAACTCCGGGTCCGTCAAATCGACGAAGTAACGGTAAAGTTGATGAGGTGCAAACTGGCCCTAGAAGATCAAAGTATTCATTGAAATCAAATCATTAACTTCTTCATCATTCATGCTACATAATGAAACCTGTATTTCTTTTAACTGTCTCTACATACATAAATTTACCTTTATTAGCTAACAATTTTCTTTTCATATTTAAAACTTATCACAACTTTGAGAAACAAATAAAAAAAAAACATACAACCATTAATAACAGGTCGGTTTTTTAAGGACTTACTCAGCAATCACGACTCACTGAATCCTTAGAACGGAATGAAGAGATCAAATCTCACGGTGGTTTTCTATTTATTACAGAGCTGTATAAAAATTCAGTAATTGCTCAGCACAATATTCATTGATTCATTTCAAAAAAGTATTGTATACGGAAATAAAGAAACTTACTTTATATACAATAGTAGAAGTACTCAATGAACAAACATAGCAGTCAACCTCCTGCTTGATTGATTGGGCAGCCGACTGTTTCCGTAGCATATAAACATTTCTTTCAAACAAGTCTTTCTCAGAAGCAGCGTATTTAGCAGTTACAAACACCTAGAAAGTGCTTCTTATTGGCTATATAGAGCTAATTCCTGCTCAAAAGCCATCTCTGTTTAATTAAGTACAGAAATTCGGTATTAAAGCGAAACCTAGAAATCACCTGACGAATACACGGCTCAGTTTTTCGGGCTTCCTCTCCAATTTCATCACTACTCGTGCGCAGTTTTCTCCAAGCAATAACTTTCAAATCGCATCCTCTGGCTAAGTCATTAAACGCTTCTTTTGCTTGCTCATGGGTTTCCTCCTTTAGGAACAATATGCCAGTACCGTACTCCCCCAGTGGCGGAAGTTCCACTCCACAGCTAAAAAAGTTTACAAAGACTCGTACTAAATCTCAGTCGCCATTTTGACCAGTAAATCGGAACGAAAAAAGTGCCAACTACAAAAACATTGGTGCCAAACAAAAAAATAAGCCATATGACAAAACGATTTGGATTGGTACAAACAGACAGTTAGAATTCAGGAGTTGTATAATTTAGCCTAACCTGGCTAGATCCTTCCGATACAGCGCATCAGGAATTGATGTTAAAACCCCTGCTCCATCACCAGAGTCCAAATCGGACGAACAAGCCCCACGGTGAGCCATTCTTTCCAACATTATCCTACCACTTTCAAGAATCTAAATCAAAAATTATAAAAACCTGCTGATTTTTCAGGACATTCTGAAATCTTTAGAATAACGTGAATAAAAACTGTCTATTTAGCTTATATTTAGGAATTGTTAAGAAACCTGATGCGTAGCAACCCCTTTAACAGAAACGACAAATCCGACTCCGCACGCATCCTTTTCCAGATGCGGAAGGTACAACCCTGTCTGTTGAGCATCGGTGAGCTGTTCATTGGTAAGGATCACCATAGCGAAGCTATAAAGTGAAATAAATGTTAAAAAAAGCAGAAGAAATACTAAGAGCTTCTCAAACGCACTAAAAAAAATAAAAAAAATTATGTGCACTTGCATATAAAACAAATCACTGACAAAACAGGTCGAAAATTGGTAACCAACAACACGCAGCTTTGCTGGTAGTATATGATACATATTTTTATACCAAAAAAGATGGTGAAAAATTTATTTTGCTGAAATACCAAATTTGTTAGAAATAAAAAAAACTCGTATATACAAAATAAGTAAGGAGTTAACCAAGCAGTAAATTTAGCTTCAAACTAAGCTTTGCATTCCAAATAAAAGTAATTTCTTTTAGGTCTTTTGAACAAAGATTTTAATTTATGGTAGTAAAAGTAAAACAGGCGCTTGTGTGCCACGTACAGCGCTCTGTAATTCCTCTACGACAAAGCCACCAAATACGATCAAGTAATCAAATTAAGTCTTTTTGAAAAGCGAACCCTTCGAACCGTTTGTAGCGCAGTGGTCAATCAGAGACTAAATGCTCCTAATACTGTAATCCGTCCTAGTTTTCTCAATCATTTTAACAATATTTAGTTCTTAAAGAAACAAAAGACCAAAAATTTGAAAATACAAGACAGTATAACTTTTTGTTTAACAGAATTGGAATACAACAAAAGTGTGACACTTAGCTAGAATCTAGGCAGGCAGGTCGTGTTGAAAAAAAGGACTTTTTAAACTTACACAAAAGAAAACCAGCCTCAAATTCAAAAGTCAAAAATTCAACAAAGCTTCCAGACTTTCTCACTAAACTTTGGCAAGAGCAAGGACTAAAACTTAAGCCCAAGCTTGGCCATAAACTTATGATAAGCCCATATCCAAGCGCAAGCTCAAGTCCTAGGCAGAACTTAATTTAAGCCGAGCTCAAGTGTACGCTCAAGCTTAAGTGTAAATCTCACCTAGGCTTAAATCAGAGGTGAACTCATATCTAAACGTAAGCTTGAACCTAGATTACATAAAGACATTCAAAAAAGAATAAATGCACCTAAGGAATTTGTTAAAATTGTTTACATATTGTACTAAAGTTTTTATTTACATTTACAATAAGAATATAATACACTAAAAATTTTTTTCTGAAGAAAAAACTCTGGCCCTGCTTGTTTGATTAATAAATTTCAGTTCGAAGAAAAAATTATTGTAGACAGTAGAAAAATGAAACAAAAAAAGCTGTTGTTTCAAATGAGGTAACTGGGAATCAAAACAGTTGTAAAAATTAAATGTTTTATTTAAAACAATGAGAATCTCTAGAGAAATACGACAGCATGGAAATTCATCAAAAAATAGCAGCGCCTAGTTTAATGTGTAACATAAATACAGAAAAATAGCCATATGCTGAAGCAATAACTTTTAGCTTCCAGCTGAAATTAGCAAATTAAAAGATGTTGAGAAAAATTGAAAAAAATCCTGCATTTTGTCGAGACGACCATCTTATCCTTCTGATGCGCTCGGTCAAATATCGCATCCTACCAGCCAAACAATTTTAAAAAAAAGGCACCGCTTTCTGGTCACTTATTTGAGCCAAGATCCTGATACTACAGCTCTTTAAATGGTACAAAAGTCCACTAAATAGTTCCAGCTTTGTCGTAAACATTTCAACGCTGAAAAAGATTTTTTCCAAACTGTACCAAATGTTACAGGTGAAAATATCAATTATAACTAAAAAACACTTTTATTTTATACCAAAAGCAAGCCTTAAGCGTACAAGAAAAGGCTTACTAAAGACTAAAATTCTTTGTTAAGATCGAATAATACGAGCATCGCTAAGAAACTTCTCAAAATGTTTCATGTAAAATCGAATTAACGTGCAGATATCTTTATGCAATATAATTCTTTAGTGGATTTCAAAAGATCAACTGAAGAAACTGTGATCTGATATCACGCTCAATTCCTATAAACTTCAAAAAAGGTAACATCAGAAAATTACTTCTTTACAACTGCAAAAGTAAAATAATAAATTACAAAAAAAAATTAAAGAAAATACAAGAATAGAAAAGTACAGTTAGTGACAGGATAGGTGCAAAAAACAACAACCTTAAAAGAAAATCTATTATCCACTCTTCATTTTAAGCCCTTTAAGCCGTCTAAATGCAGAAAATTATTCCTCTGCGAAAGATAAGCAGATAAAACCCAACACTTGAAACAGTCGGTAATTGTGGTATTTTAAAGCATAAAAATAATATGCCGCTGTTGGCATTTAACACTTAACTTTTGGTCAAGTGTTAGCTCCCAATTTTTGAAAAAGAAGACCCGATTTAAGCGGTTCTTTACCATTTTTTGTCAGAAGACGAAAAATGTATCTAAGTTTATATTTTTTAACCTTGCGTATCTAAGTTTTCAATTCTGAAAGTAAAATCAAATTATCATTGGTCAGGTAACAGCTACTCCTAATATCTGTGTTGACAACTAAAAATAATACCGAAAACTGGATGCAGAAGTTCTTCAAATGATTAAAATTAGACTCCTTTATCAATCAGCGCAAAATTTGTTAAATTCGCTCAAGGTAACACAGTTTCAGGTAATTCAGGTAACACAGTTTCCACTCGGTAAAACCACTATGTTCTGGTTCTTGACAAGAGCCCAGAACATTATAACTGCAAGTTCCATAGAGAGAAGCAAGCAGATAACTACTTAAAATTAGAGTTCCTGCACTATTTACTGTAACAAAACTATTAAAACTAAAAAAAATTTTATTCCAGTAGAATCTGATCACAAAACTTAATTTTCTTGTTTTGCAAACCTACTTTAGTTCCAACGATTAAATCAGCTTTTGAAACGACTAATATTTAAAGTACGTTTAACGTTAGATGACAAAACAATGACGAAAAGAAAGGAAATAAACAGCTAAAAGCATTCATTAATAAACACATTTTTAATGAGTAAATACGCAAAAAAACCATACAAATCATCAATAAAAGCTAATTGGTAAAATTCAAAAAAATGGCTAATGTCTTAGCGTGCAGTACTGAAGTATCACATTAATATTGCATTAAAAATCATGCAGATACGCTGCTTCTAAATCGACAAAAACAACAGACTATTCAAACCCCAGCTTGGACTTGTCTTAGAAGCCACTAAAATTTTTCATTCGAACAGAGCGAGCAGATTTTGCAAAAATATATCGAAAAAAAAGCTTAAACTACAGATGAATTAACAAAAATTTAAAAGATATTTCCAACCTATAAATGGCTTCTAAACTATTCTTCTGTTTTCTTTGGTTTAGCGAAAAAAATGTCACTGGTAATCTGCAGTAACCTTCCATTCACGCTTCCAAAATAACAGAACTTCAAAGATATAAATTATAACCACAAAACAATCAAAGCTTTTTTAAACAAAAAAAAACAAATAAATAATCAGAAAGATCATAGAAAAAATAGATATTACTCAAAATAAAAGTACTTCAGTGAAATTGTCATAAAATGAAAGATTAATGCACTTGAATCTGAGTAAAACCGGATTAGAGCACAAAATTTCTTCTCTCGTTTTACTGTAAGTCAATGCTTGAGTAGCTGCCAACTTCAAGGTTGATCAAAAGTAGAACTCTTTATTGCTTAAAAGAGATGTATCAACCTAAACAAAATTTATAAATTATCATCCCAATGAATAACACTGTAGAAAAGATTTTTAATAAAATTTACCCAAAAAAAATCTGGCAATCAGATTCAAGAAGCTTAAGCTTGCAGCACAGTGAGCTCAAATAAATCGTTGAAAATTTTCAATTTGACGCCAGTAAACCAAAACAAAAAATGATATTGTAAATTTGAAGCTTGTTAACGTTTCCGACTTCCTTGAGCAACCTGTTCAGAAGCAAACTTGAGTTAGAGATGACAAAAGGTAAAGACACTGTTCAACCAAAAACATCATTACCGTTGCTGTCTGAATTTTATGTATCCAAAGAACGGGCAAAAGAAAATAAAAATAACCACGTTTTCTCAAAAAAAAAAAACTTTTTTCAATTGATTTTACTCTTTAAATTGGTCCATTTAATATCAGAGTAGGAAGGTTCCAAATTTGGGCTGAAATTGGTGTTTGGCTGTAAATTATACAGCGACACATCCTCACTCTTCATGCCGTAACGGTCGCCACGTTGCATATCTAATGTTGCCGAGAGGTTTGACCATCAAATCATCCAATTTTCCCTGCACCAATTGACCATATAGATCTTTAGTCTAGCAGCAGCTATATCCAAAAAATTATCTCTTTTTATCCCTTGTTGCTATTTTTATCAGTAGTCAAATCCAATCTACTTTTAACAATCCATTTCCTCCTGATCAATGTTCACTAAACATTTATACTTCAAGGATTATCTAAGTTTGAGATAATGAAACAAAAAGAAATAAAGTAGTAAAAAAAGTAAAATTCACTTAGACAGTTCAAGATTTCCGTATATCAACTAAGAAATTCATTTGTAAGCCAGACAGCCTGCTGGCCTTCAACAACAAAATTATCTAAACTTTTATTTGTATTACTATATTAGTCCAATAAATTATCTAAAATCCTTAAAGAGGTCAAGTGCAAAAAAGTTCCTTTCCAAAAAGAGATCAAGCAGAATGTAAGTCGTTTCAAAATAACAAAAGTGGGAAAAAATTGGCCAGCAGATCCAATAGATCCGGCAATACTTTTGCTGTCATTTGATGAATTATTGTTTACAAATAAAGTGCAAATATATGTGCATTTGGCTCCTTAAAGAGAGAAACAATCAATAGAGCTGGAAAAAAAATTTTGCTTGATGAAATTTCAATTGAAAGTAAACAAATAAACAAACATTCAATGTGATAAATATCGAAAAAAAAATTTTTTTTTGCAATCTGTGCACAAATGAACACCAAATTTTGCAACAGTGCTGCCAGCTAACGGATGGAAAAGTATAAAAGAATAATATAGAGTATAGATTTAAAAATTGAAACACGAAAAAAGCACCCTTAATTGCTACCTGCAAATGGCCAGGATAATAACCTAAAAGA